GCAATGAGCTTGCTGACACACTTGCTATGATGGGGACAACTATTTTGTAATGCATGCACCATTGCTAAGAGGGGGACTACGATTTTGCAATGCATGGACCGTCCGATGTCTTTCCACACAATGAAGGCCTTAATCAGAAGAGTATTCCAGAATGTCTTTCCACACAATGATGGCCTTAATCAGGAGAGAATTACATTTATGGACCGGGGTCTTCCCACACAATGGTTATGGACCGGGGTCTTCCCACACAATGAAGGCCTTAATCAGAAAAGAATTCCCGACCTCAATGTGCAACGAAATTAAAGCTCGAAGAGAATTCAAGACCTCAAGGTACAACGAACTTAAAGCTCGGAAATGAGAAACAGTGGACAGTGGCACTCTCCCGATCAGAAGAGAATTCAAGATCTCAAGGTGCAACGAACTTAAACAACAAAAGAGAAACAGTGGACAGTGGCACTCTCCGACATAGCCGACTACGAGAATCGAAGCCGTTGCTGAGTTTAGACTACGTATCGGACAGGATTGCCCCGTTGATGAGTTTAGACTACGTACCGAACACGATTGCCTATCAAAACACCTTCACAGATTGGGAGTATACACTCAACTCACATGTACACCTTCACAGATTGGGAGTATACACTCAACCCACATGGACCTTCACAGATTGGGAGTATACACTCAACCCACATGCCCCCTTCACAGATTGGGAGTATACACTCAACCCATATGCCCTTTCACAGACTGGGAGTATACACTCAACCCACATGCCCTCTGCACAGATTCGTACCGGACACGATTGCTTGACAAAACACCTTCACAGATAGTACTCCGTTGATGAGTTTAGACTACGTACCGAACACGATTGCCTATCAAAACACCTTCACAGATTGGGAGTATACACTCAACTCACATGTACACCTTCACAGATTGGGAGTATACACTCAACCCACATGGACCTTCACAGATTGCGAGTATACACTCAACCCACATGCCCCCTATAAACCTACAGGAGGAAATGGAGAAGACCCACCTGATTCGGTATATTGGGAGAATACACTCAACCCACATGCCCTCTATGTAGCCTTGGGAGTATACACTCAACCCACATGCCCCCTATGTAACCTTCAAGAGGAAATGGAGAAGACCCACCTGATTCGGTGTCCCACAGGAGAAAATGAAGAAGACCCACCTGATTTGGTGTCCAGCACTAAAGACAACGACGGAAACCCAGAGATACTGGGAAGCAAAAAAAAGCCAGAGATACTGGGAAGCAAGACGACGGCTAAATGAACTGCTATTAATTAACTGCTATAAATGTACCCCCCTTCATGAACGAAGAAGACAGCTAATGAATTTCTATAATTAACTGCTATAAAGACCCACCTGATTCGGTGTCCTGCCCTAAAGACAACGACGGAAAACCAGAGTACGGGGAAGCAAGAAGACTGCTAATGAACTGCTATTAATTAACCGCTATAAATGTAATCCAGCTCTAAAGACAAGGACGGAAAGCCAGAGATACTGTTAAGCAAGAAGACTGCTAATGAACTGCTATTAATTAACTGCCGCAAGAAGACAGCTAATGAATTGCTATTAATTAACTGCTACAAGACAGCTAAATGAACTGCTATTAATTAACTGCTATAAATGTACCCCCCTTCATGAACGTAATTAACTGCTATAAATGTATCCCCCCCCCCTCTTGGGGTAAGCTGAGCTATAAATGTACCCCCCCCCCTCTTGGGGGAAGCTGAAGCCATAAATGTACCCCCCCCCCTCTTGGGGGAAGCTGAAGTCAGAAAGCTGAAGTCAAATATTAAGGGCTAATGATAAATATCATAAAGCCTGCCATTTGAAATAAATGAATAAATATACATATCCACTTGCCAGGATAATACATCATATTGGGCTTGAATTATCGACAAGGGACACAAGTAATCCTTTCATAAAGATAGTAATATTAAAGAAAATAAATCTGTGAACATATTTACGCTGGAAAGAAATTTCAGGTATTTTGAAGTAGCTTCAAACTAATTTTAATATTGTGCAAAACTGCGCTGTTGACTCAAATAGGTATAGTCAATGTCCACTAAATCACTTCCCCCACAATAACATTTTCAAATTGTAACCCCATTATATCAATGAAAAGAAAGTTTACTAATCAACGCTCTTGTGCTCATGAATTACAATAACAAGGTATTCAAATATGAACACTAAAATAGACTCCTATCATAAGTTACCATATCAGAAAAAAGACAACAAATTTGAATCTACAATATTCTGAAATAATGATGATTTCTAATTTTTGTAAACTTCTTTAATAAGTAAAATGCTTTACTCTTTGTAGATGATGGATTAATTTACTTACTTCAATTAATTAAATTAATTGGTGAAATATTTACTTATTTGAGTTAATTAACTTTACTTTAAACCTTGGTTCAAATTCAGAGCACTATCTCCACTCTCCCATGTAAATTTGATAGGTTTGGAATCAAATAAAAAACAATTCGGTTTGTTTTATTTGCAAACCTTTCACCTTTATCGTCACAAAATTGTATGAATAGGTTAAAATTTATTTAATTAAACATGATGGGTTTTTGTAGCGTTCAAATTTAATTAAAGTTATTTAACATAGGATGTGATGGATTTTACTAAGTGAAGTTTATAATTTGTGAGAAAATTTATTTCCTTGATACGATGAAATTCTAACTATCATTGGGAAAATATTCTTATGATCAACTCAAATATAACTATATTTAAAATCTGTTCAAATATTTAAGTAAGAGTTAGTTTGGCTTAATGGGTAACTTTCCACAAATAAGTAGGCTTGCCTATTGCAAACTACTTAATAAGTTACAAAGTTAGAATTAAAAGGGAAAAGATTTGGCCAAAGCTGGAAAATTTATCCTGACTTTTCACAGCACATTTCAAACTGCCAGTCTTAACTTGACAAGCAAGGGAAATTTGGTAACCTGCAAATTTATTCCGTTGAAATCCGCAAAGCAGCTGCCAAGAAACCTTGATGGAAGTGGATTTAATTTGTTTCAAGTATTTTAAATGAACGAAAGTTTTAACAATAATCGGTGCTTCATTAAGGGATTCATGAACATCAATTATAACTCCTCAGTCATATATTTTATCTATAATAGACAACGCTTTATACCACTTATTGCAAACTGAGAATTCATTGTGTTTATACCACTTGGAAAATCTATTAAAGAAGAAAAAATGTCCATGTATCACGTTTATAGTCTTCGCATTTCTTATAAATCCATTATTACAAAAGTAAATATTACAAATTTATTGTTGAATGCATCTTTTAACCAGGTTCAAAAGAGGTGATTACTTATTTTGCAATAAAATTTTTAAAAAATTAATTACTAAGTATGATTCTTTTAACTCACCTAGAATTTTACTAGTTAAGAAGTTCCAATAAGGATAAGTTAGATTTTAGATTGACAAGTGCATAATAAATGACGCTTTATTTTATTTAGGCTTATTCAAATCTAATACCTAGCTCTTAATTATTGAATCTTGCTCCAAATAACTCATTTTTTGAAATATACTACTTAAATTTCAAGTTTAAAACGTATGGCTGTTCACCTGTTAGTTACCTAAAATAATTTAAAGTGATTACCGATTTATCCGACCCTAATGTAGTTGCATCAAAACAACTATGTTTTTCAATAATCGAGTATATGATATTCGAATCAGACAAAGAGGTTCTTTCTAAATATGATCCTCTAAATATCTATGAAATAAGTCCTATCACCATCTCTTCAGGCTATCAATTAAAGCGTTGTGTTTTAAAATACCATATATTAACAAAAATAACTAATCTTTAATTAACATCTATTCTAATGAATTGTACCGGAAAAGAGAGTAAGTTATCAGCTTATACCAAAAAGAATATATCTTTTTTCACAAAATTTGCATAGTATTTCTGCATCTTCTTACAACAAATGAACCAATTACCATTCAAGGAAAATTCAGTGGTTCCACCAATCATATTTAACCAAATATGATTTACGAATCAACTTGTGTTGTGCAAATGTTATATTACTCTCCTTCTAATCTAAAGCACACAGATACACACAAAAAATTGTCAAATTACTAGGTGGAGGCATTACTTAGTTGACTCCAAGTCCAAACCTTTTGCAATTCGGAGATGGATCACAGAATAGAATAACATACAGACTAATGATGTCTGTACTTTCAGTTACTTAACGTAAAAATAAAACTAGCCATTCATGTGAAAGATTGTTGTCTAATGCCTGTAGTTTATAAAATTAAATCTTTCAAACATAAGTAATACAACCTCTTTACAACTTAAGCACTTAAGACTTTTACATTTGACTTTAAAGCGGATTATTTGCAAGTTGGTAAATTCAACGGAATGACATTTTCTGGAAACAAATAAGCACTTATCTAAAATATGCCTATAAAGCTGCATTTTTGTCAAAGGAATCTGCATATACTTTTAAGATATGGAATAAACAGTTATTTCACTTTGATAAATATTTATTCTCTTATCGGTACTCACGCCCAACCTAGAAGTGCACTAAATTAATGACGTAAGTCAACAGAATTAACTCAACCAATTATAAAGGTTTTCAATTTGAGGGAAAACAATCCTGGTTGAGGCTCAACCACAATAATCCCATTGACAGTCTTGAGCGGTTAAAAACAAATTAGTGAGCTTCTTAATGGCTTTCAATAAAGAGTTATGATAGCAGTCAGACAAATCAGTGTAACACATAATCAAACACTGCTGAGGAATAGTGATTTTTCTTTCCTTGAATTCAATACCCTAACAAGCCATACTTAATTATTGAAATAACCAAAATTTATGTCATTTTTAGTGAAATTTAAAGAGAGAATAAAGTTTTTCATGAGGCTTCTGTCAAAAACCATTTTGATGACTGAAGAAAGAGGTATATAAATTGCATTAGTGAAACTTTCGTTTAATTTTATTATTTGTTCCTTAATGTTTTATATCTTATTTTAACTTTTGAATAACTGATTGAAACATTCCTCGCCCTTTAAATATTTTTCGTTTGGTCTTAACTTCTTGTGAATGAAAATTTAAGTGCCGATGTAATACTGGTCTTTGTTAATTTATGTTAAACTGGGAAAAAAGACAACCCACTTTGCGAAAAACGTTTAAATTTTCTAATTTTGATTTAAATTAAATATTATTTTTAAAAGGCATATTTGAAAGGGGATTTATCCATTTGATTGCTTTTACGGCTCTTTTAAGTTACTTTTTGCCTCATTAATTTCGAGTAATCTAATTTTGAAGTGTTAATAACCAGCTTACCCTGGTGCGATTAAAATAGGGAGATAGGGAGGTGAGATGCCTGACAATTTATTTGATAAAAATCTGAATTTAACAATTATAATGTAAAAATAGTGGCCTTGGAATGCATTCTATTCGTTAATGATGCTTTCAGTAACGAAGTCGGAAATATACTCTTTATGCCTTGTTTTCTCAAAACTTAGTACCTCTAAATGCCATCAATAAATATTTTTATCATTCATTTTGAAATGTTGGGTAGAGTTTGTTATTTTCCTGTCTGAGGTTGTCTATGTGGCTTATTTTTGACTTTCAATAAAGATTTATCAATGATTTTTACCTAGGTATCCTTACTTTAGGGCAAAGCGGGGTGTGCGATAGACTAACTTCCACGTGGTGCACCCTGAGCAACGTATACTCATACGGCAAACAAGTCTACTAACTGACAGTTGACTTCAAACTACCATGACCCCACTGTATGTCATATTCGACCCCTACCGCATTACTCGCAACACCTTTTTTTACCTTTGTGTCTGACTCTTTTACATCTTTGAAACACTCTTCTATTTTTCCCCCCCCCCCCCCCATCTCGACTTTTTTCCACTCTGTTGTTCCTTCCCCTCTGAGAAGCCTGAAGTCAACTAAAGGGCTAGTGGTAACTACTAAAACGCCTACCATTCAATATAAATAAATGAACGCTAGAGCAAAGCTCCATATCCACTGTCAAATAATTGGCAACTCTGTGCCGCATTCAGCATGCTTTTTAAATATATTTTAATATTTATCTTTATATTATACGAGAGTTAAAATTTTTTCGTCTTTTTAATTAAATTTGAATTGAAATTTCGTACAATTTCTTTCTATTAATGAACCATCAGCAAAATTTATTGATAAAAATTTAACCATTTTCCAAGGCAAAGAGTAAAATCAAAAGAGGAAAGTTCTGAAATATCCATTTTGAATCTACTTATGAACTTTACTCAGCCAATTTCAA